CTGTGTTCTCAGATCCTAAGAATCCTGATTAATGAACCTGAAGAAAAGGTTACCACCTGGGCCTGCTAATGAAGAGCCATCTGAGAGCCTGACAGTAATTGGTGGCAGTGCCTTGGGTTGTTCTGTTAAGCAGAAGAGATCTGTGAACTAGACCCACAGCCTGGTAACTTGAATCAGAGTTCTCATCCTTTGAGGACCTTTGGGATAATGATGAAGGCATCTCCTTGGCATGGCATATATACTCTCTGTCTGGCCTCTTGGTGACTCATAACATTGGGTTTTCTGTTGTAATGATAACTAATGGTTCCAATCTTTCTAGTATTTAGCAAGGCTGTTTGTTGGCCTCTTGGCTATGCTCATGCTGTATTAGTTGCATTGGATGTTGGGATGCTTGTGCTCACACACACACTCACAATCCTGTCTGTCTGATACCTTCTGGGGTATCAACTTCTCTGAGAAATCCTTCTTGGCCCCCAGAGTCAGGTGTCTCTCTTGGCTTCCTCCCACTTGAGCACTTATCACTCTGTAGTATTGTCCTTATTTCCATCACACGTGACTAGGAGCCACTCAAAAGTAGGAATTGTGTCTGATTCATCTCCAGGTCTCTAGTGCCCAGTCCAGAGTCCATCATGCTTGCTGAGCTTTCATCACCTTTGCTGTTTACATCCCCTTAGCTATACTCTCCACATTCATTTCCTACCTCCTTCATTCACCAAATAACCAACTATTCCCTGGCTAGAGCTAGAGCTCAGATGAATGACACAATCTTTATCAATGGAATTCTCTTTTTAAGGATTTATTTATTTGTTGAAAGATGAGAGAGAGAGAGAGCGCGAGAGCGCTTCCATCTTCTACTTCATTCCCCAGAAGGCCTCAACAGCTGGGGCCTGGGGATGGGACAGGCTAAAGCCAGGAACTCCATCTGGGTCTCCTGTGTGGGGGGAGGGGCCCAGGTACACTAAGGCCTTTCACCTCCTTCCCTGGTGTAGGGAGCTGAATCAGATGCAGAGTAGTCAGGACTTGAACTGGCACTCTGATATAGGATGCCAGCATCAGCTTATTGTGCTGTACCACAACTCCAGCTCTTGTCAAATGGACTTCTGCCACATAGAGTAATGAATGATATGGCAGAATAGAAGAACATGAAGAACTCGCATCTAAGCTGAGTCCTAGAAATGAGAATTTGACTAGGAGAGTTTTTGCTCAGTTCTAAATTTAAAGGCTCACAATCCCCACTAGCTTTAGGAAGCTTCTTCCCCCTTCCCCCTCCTGCCATGCTCCCCTTTTCTTGCATTCCGACATGGCCTCTAGTTGGCTCTATTTGGATTAGAATGTTGTAGGACTTCCTGTCACTGGTCCAACTGAAAGTGAGACTAGAGGCATAAGGAATCCTTGAGCTTTGGTTTCCCTATCTGCAAATCACAAAATGTGACCCATTGTCTTGGTTTCACCTGTTTGATAAGGCTGTGGCTCTTATTGTTTCTAAAACCACTTTTAAAAAAAATTATTCAAAAGATAGAAAGAGAGAGAGAAAGAAAGTGAGTAGTGAGCAGCAAGCGAGTGAGAGACAGAACAGAGTTCCTATCTCTTGGTTCACTCCCCAAATGCTGCAACAGCTGGGGCTGAGTTAGAGCCAAGAACTAGGCACTCAAGTCACATCTTCCACAGGGGTAACACGAATCCAACTGTCTGAGCCATTGCCTAAAACCTCTCAGAGTGCACCTTAACAAGAATGCTGGCACCAGGAGTTAGAGCCTGGAATTGAACCCAGGCAATTTGAAATGAGACGCAGATATCTTAGCTACTAAACCAGGTTAAGGATGGCTTGAAACTTCTGTTTGTGAACCATTGAGGACTTGCAGTTGTGAGGGACTGATGTTCTTATTGTGTCTTAACACAACTAGGTTTGAACCCCTTGTGTTCCCGACAGTAAACAAGACCTGACATGAAGTCAAGGTTCAATAAAATCTTGGTTTATTGATTGATCCTGCACAATGAAGAAAAAACAGCTTCCCCCTGAAAGCCCTTGGAGACAATGGGGAGACAAAGAAGTTGAAATCTGTGGTGGGTTGAGAACATATGGGAAAGGAAATAACCATATATACCACAGATCAATCACTTCACATGCTTTTGTGCATTTAATTTGCATTCCCATCCTAGAAGGTAGGTAGCATTCGCTTCCTTATACAGATGAGAAAATGGAGGCTGAAAGTGGTTAGGTAGCTTGCCTTAGGTCACAGAGCTGGTGACTGAGGAGACGCATTCAAATCTTGTCATTGCCCTCCTGCACAATGTAGCATGTCCTATCCTCAATGCCAGTTCCACAGAAGAAATCTGGTAGTCAGCGTGTGTGTGTGTGTATGTGTGTGTGTGATATTCAATTAAAGAAAAACTCACGGATGCCAACTGCTTTTGGCGGCCTGAGGCTGAGGAGCCAGAGCTGCCTCAAATATCCACAATGAGCAGGCACTTCTGCAGCTTGCCTTGCTCAGGCTGGGAAATGGGCCATAAGAAAACCAGAGGGTGGGCTGATAGGATCTGTGAGCATCCTCGAACTGGCAGGGTCAGGAGAAAAAGAGCTGTGCTGTGGCACTGTCTGTGGCTGGTGGAATAATAGGGAGAAGGCGGATGGGAGAGAGGCACTCCCTCCTGTGTGGGAGAAGATGATGAAAGACGGAGAAAGATGAAGAGCTGAAAGGAGCCAGATTTAAAAAAAAAAGAGAGCAGAAAGGCACAGTCATTGTAACAGGCAGCTGGTGGACAGCAATTTATTCATCATCTGGCTCAATCCTCCCAATTGCTCCCAACAGGAAGACACCGCTATTACTCCTACTTGACAAATGAAGAGTCTGAAATTCAGAGAGGCTAAGTGATGGGGAAATGTGAAGTGACTTGCCCAGATTCAGAGACATGCGTGTAGTCAGATGAAATCAAGGAGGCTGAAAAGACCTGTAAAGGAAGACAAAGATATAGTCAGGGGAAAGGATGCAAAGGAGGCTGAAAAGACCTGTAAAAGAAGACAAAGATATAGCCAGAGTGAAATGGAAAAAGGAAGAAAGACGAGGCAAGACTATGTGTGGACTCTGGAGCTAGGCAAATCCAGGGCCAAACCCAATTTCCACTAACATAGCCACACGGTCTTATGGAGTTATACAGTCTTTTGGAGCCTTTGTTATCTCATTTTTAAGTTGGAGATGATGGTATTTATCCAACAGACTACCAAGAAGATTGAATAAGATGATGTTTGTTAAGGCTCCCAGTGTGGTGTCTGGCTCAATAGATACTAAGGATGCCAAGAAGAAAATACAAGGAGCATAAAGGAAAAGAAGGAGCGAAATAGTGTGGGGGTGTGGGCCGGGGAAGGCTTTTCAAGCTAACTACAGAGAAAGAGGACAGTGAACAAAGGGAATAGTTGGCTCAGGGACATGACAGAAGGGCAGTTCATGCTTCTAAGGCCTGTCAACAAGTGGTCAAGATTCCTGGTGGGAATTAGCCATTTTTAATTTGCTTGTGTCTCTTTGGACAACCAAATTCTGTCCATTGTCACAGACAGGGTCATTAAGGATCTCAAATACAAAGCAGAAGACAAAAATATAACACACATCAGGTGCAATTTTTCCTGGACCTTTTCATTGGGTTTATGAATGAAGGGAGCTATGTGTAGGATAATTTTAGTAGTGATCAGGAAACAGGAATCCCACTGGGTGGAGATAGGCCAGTGGGAGCAAATAAAAGTTCACTGTGTCAATGTGGAGCCTGGAATACCTTCCAGAGCCCAGACCTGGCTGGTCAGGCCAGGGTTGATGGAAGACAGGGGAAAGAGGAGGAAAATTCCTGCTCAGAAGTCCAGAACCAGCAGATAGCCCACTCCCTAAGAGGTCCCCATCCCAGCACATTGGAATGCCAGCTGGAGTACTAGCACTTCCACTCCTAATCCATCTTCTTGCTAATGCATCCTGGAAGGCAGCAGATAATGGCTCAAGTGCTTGGCCCCCTGTCACCACTGCACAGGATTCCAAGTGCTCATGGCTTCAATTTGGTCCAGCCCTGGCATTTTGGGAAATAAACCAACAGATGGGCAATCTCTCCCTCTCTTTATTCTTCTCTCTCTCTCTCTCTCTCTCTCTCTCTCTCTCTGTGTGTGTGTGTGTGTGTGTGTGTGTGTATGTTTCTCTCTCTCTCTCTCTGCTTTTCAAATAAATAAAGAAAGAAAAAAATCTTAAAGTCCAAAATCTGGACTCGCCATCTTGGTACCTTTACTCATCTTAGGCAAGCCAATTTACTTCTCTCAGCCACAGTGACATGGAGAGGAGTTGACACCCTTTCCCCAGGGCGTTGCATTGATAAGAGAGAGAATGCTTTGGCAACTTGAAATGCTGTGCACATATTTATGTATTCACTCTTTTGGCCAATACTTAAAGACACCCCCACCCAAACCTGTATCGGGCATGGCCTCTACACTTTATCAGCATCTTCTTATTTAGTACCTCTGTGAGCTAGGTTAAATGATCAACATTTACAAACCCCAAAAAATTGATCTATAAAGAAAATAATGAAATTTCCAGTTTAGTAGCTTTCAGTGGTAGAACTGGGATCTGTCTGACTTAAAAACTCCTGCCTTATGGGAGTGGCACCAACTAGTTTATGTCCCAGCTGCTCCACTTCTGACCTAGCTCCCTGCTAATACGCCTAGGAAAGCACTGGATAATGACTCAAGTGCTTGGGTCCCTGCTACCCATGTGGGAGACCTGGAAGAAGCTCCTGACTCTGTACCTGCTCAGCTCAGGCCATTGTGGAATATATGGGAAGTTTGCCATTTGGAGCATGAACCAGAAGATGAAAGATTTCTGACTCTCCTTCTCTGTGTATAATTCTGCCTTTCAAATATATGCATGTGAACTGACCATCTGGCTTTGTTCCAGAATGCTGGAGACATGACAATGTCTAGCTGAAGAGATGGGGGAGAAAACCTTACCTCTGTCTCCTCTTTCTTTCTCCAGGATTTGACTTCTTTGAAGCCAGTGCCAAGGAGAATATCAACGTGAGACAGGTCTTTGAGCGCCTAGTAGATGCCATTTGTGACAAGATGTCTGATTCGATGGACGCAGACCCCTCCATACTGGGCACCTCCAAGAACACGCGCCTGACAGACACCCCACCACTGCTACAGCAAAACTGCTCATGCTAGGCAAAGCCCACCCTCCCTATGCATCCTTCAACTGCTCTGCACTCCCACTGCTTCTCCTGAGTCCATGCTGTCCACTCCTAGTCCCGTGTAAGCTCTGTTGCTGCTGTTCTTTGCTTTCCTCCCAAGGGGACTCTGTAGCTGGCCCCATCCCAGATACGCAACCCCAGCCTTGCTTCACAAAAGAATATTTTCTGGTTTATATATGGGATTCCCTGTGGTTGCTTGCAAAGCTGCTATCTTTTCAACCTTGAAAATTAAGATTTCCTCCCTTGATCAACATGTGTCTCTCTCTCTCTCTCTCTCTCTCTCTTTCACACACACACACACACACACACACACACACACACACACACACACACACAAACACACACAGTTTTCTGGGACTAGTCAGATGTGTCAAATGAGGCCGGCCTATGCAGCTAATCCTATTGGAGAAAACTAAAGCACAGACAAGCTTGTTTCAGGTCAGGCTCCCCAGGGGGCTTTCTCTTAGCCTAAGTCAAGCCTTGACTCTCAAAGCCCTAGCCTGTTACCACGGATGCCCACAGGGCTTGGGCAGTTGCTGTGGTGACAAGGCCAGAGCTAATCTCTTGAGAGCTCCAGTTCTCATAGGATGCTCAAAGAGCAAAGGCTGAGTCAGAAACACACTTAGAGGAAAAAGATTATCCCCTGCAAAATGTCAGAGGTCCTCTACTCCGTGAAAGGGCAAACCAGTGGGCAAAGAAATATGTGCCAAAGACATAGGGCTCTAGTTTCTGAACTGCTTTTTAGCTGCTGGGAATGCCTCTGGTTCTTCAACTCCCAGACTCTGAAAATTCTAGAATTGGTGGGATCCAACCTGGTGAATTTGGCTGGTCGGTTCTCACGTTCCTGTCTCTGACAACCAGCTGGCAGCCCTCACACCCAGATCCCCTCTTTTGTAAACACATCTTCCAGGAAGAGGCAGGAGACAGCTTCAGTCCACATGCTCCATGGGCAGCTCTCATAGTCAGAAAGTTTGCCTTGCTTCTCACTGAAATTTGCTGCCTGTTCCCTTCCCATTTATATTGTCTCCCCTGCTGGAGACATCAATCTCTGCTCCCTGTGAGTCATGGCACCTTTAGATGGTTTGAGCTCAGAGTTCTGAGAACTGCCCTTTATCTGGGGTCAAAAACTTCAGTAATCTTACCTGCTATTTTTGATAGAATTTTCCTTCCTGCCTGCCCCTTTCCTTCATCCCGTCTTTCAGCTATTCCTGAGCAGTCTATCTTGGAGATGTGATTGAAAGCAGAATCTCAGGAGGCATGACCCTGAGACAATTGGGAAAGTGAATTTGGAAATGTCAATGTCCGTTCTTCTTAGAGTAAGACCCAAGAGCCTGTGTGACAGCACTCCTGGTGGAAGCCCCTTAGTGGAACACCCAAAGGCCAAAAGTTACCACCAAACCAGAAAGAATGAGCTCAGCAGTCTAAGCTTTCTTGGACAGGCACATTGTTTGGGTTTCAGCTGAAATGATAACAAGGGACTGGCAATGGTTCCTGAAAAATCTTACTTCTCCACCATGACTGAAATCCCCAGCCTCCTTCACCCTAACACTAACATACACCTCAAATTCAGATCCAGTTCCTAGGAAAACATGTTCACTAGCAACAAATCTGATGACCAAATAAAAAGAACCATCAAGAGGCAGCCCTGTGGAGATGCTGCTGTCTTGGGTACAGTGCATGGGACCCAGTTTTTGGACTTGGAATTGGGAGGCCTGCACACTGTCACTTTGTTTAGGGTGGCTGTGGGCCAGGTACTGCTCCCTCTGAGTCCTGGTTTCCTACCCACAAAGCAAAGAGGTCCACATGGATGTTGTTTCAGGTCCCTCCAGGAGCTAACAGCTCTGTGATCCTTTTATCATCTTCACTATTTCACTTGATCTGAAGAGGCTGAAAGAGCAAGATTACCATCCTGTTGGTATTTCAGTGACAGAGGTGTCATGCTCTCTCTACACCAGACCTTGTTCCAAGCACTTTGCATGAATTGACTCATTTATCTTCCCAGCCTCTTTGTAAGGGAGGCACCATCCTCAGCCTCATTTAAAGATAAGGAAACCAAGGTACCAAGAAAGTCTAGCTCACGTAAGATCATATCATGAGTCAACAGTGAAGCTGGGGCTTAAACCCAGGCGGCAGGCTCCATGGTCTGTGTTCTCAGCCACCTCTCATATTGCATCTCTCATAGACAAACTATGATCCAGAGAGGTTAAGAGATTGGCCCAAAAGCACACAGCTTTAAAATCATGTTAGGATGCTTTTAAGCAATCCCAGGACCATCAGATTTCAAGTCTAAGGAGATTAAGACTTATGTGTCTGAGCCATTAACAAATTGCTTATCCACTTCGATCAACCCGAGGTAACAGATGTCTAATGCTTAGGAAAGGAGAGTCAGGCTCAGAGACAACCAGGTCCCGTGGGCCTAGGCAAAATATGCCCAGAACCAGTCAGGCCCAAGTGCCAGCTTTCCCTGTATCTGCTTCTGTCAGGAAATCCTTTGCTGGTGTCCAGGCAGTTCTGAGAGCCATTGCTATGTTGCGGCACCGTGGCTTGGTTAATGTCTCTAACCATGGAAGAATATAGTCCTCTCACAAGCCAGGGGTTCTGGTTGTGCTGCTTATGCTTTGAACTTGCATGATTTCTTCATCAATTATCTTTTTTTTTTTTCTGGCCATTAACACCCATCTACCCAGTACTAGGATTTCAGACCAACATCCTCAGGACCCCTGAATATTCTAGTGTCTATATTCAATAATCTTATTTTTCTTACTGTGTCCAAACAAAGGCTGATGCTTTTGCTTAAAAAAATGTCAAGTTCTTTAAAATCTGGAGCCAGTTCCAGGGAGCAAGTCTCCTCATAACAGATGGAATTCACAGTTAAATGTGACAGTGGCAAACTGTCCTAACAGGCAACAATCAGACTTGTTTGCTACCCAGCAATCCCCCAGCCCTGTTCCATGACCTCATTTCTGCTAAGTGGAAGGCAAGAGCTTCCAGCTGATTACACACAAGGTTCATCAGTCACGGCAACAGCGCAATTAACCACCAACGTTCAAGCTGCAGAGAGTGTGCATCAGTGGCAATTTGTCCTGGATTTCCTCTTCCTAAACAAATCCAAATGAAACAAGGTTAAATAAAAACACTTGTCCTCAAAAGAGGCAAAAGTAGGCCAAAAGTGTGATACAGTATTATAGTGATTCACAGAATCTGTTTTCATTGTGTGTCTGTAAATACAAAGTGATACGTGATTCTTGTCTCTCAATCTGTAGCATTATTAACTTCTAAGAACAGCAATGGGGGAGAATGTTCTGAATAGTCTAATACCCATTGGGTAAAGACTTTGGATAGGAGTATAGAGAAGATCTTGTCCTGGTTCCTATTTTTCAAGAGACGGGGGAAGAATGGGAAGAAATATCATAATTGCTCTGGGAGTACATAAATAATGGAGCCAAGATTGAGCCTTGGATCACCCTTACAAAGAAATTCATTTATTCTGAGAAGCTGCTATGGTTCTAGCATGGCTAATATAGATAAAAATGATGATCTCTTTTTGCAAAGCACCTGCAATCTGAAGGAGGTGCTGCTTCTAAAATATTACTAATCCATTTTGACAGACGAGGAACATGGCCTTAGGAAAGTGAATGGGCCCAGTCATCCACCAGTAGCATCATTTGAGCTCACCTCTGTCAGATTCTTTTGGGTTTCCTCTTCAGATTGTCTCAGATGAAAGGTAAATGGGGCAATGGTAGCAACAGTCTCCCAGAGTTTCTTGAAGTTATAAATAAAACCAGCTGGTCTGGTTTGCAGTTGCTTTTTGACTGCAGCCTTATAAATAACTGACTCTCACACTCACATCACCCACCTCCTGCCCCAGAGCCCCTACCTAGCTGGCGCATCAAGTTTCCTGGAGTGCCTTCAGGAATGGGTTGAGGACATTGATTACCAACAGTTTGAGGGCAGAGAAAGAAATTATAACAAGTGTCCTGGAATCTCACTGATTTCATAGCCTTTATCCCACGTCATTACCTGATGTGGCTGAAGAATCAGGTCATAGCCTATGATGGGAAATGTCTACAAAACACTAGCCAACGAGACACAGATGCTAATTTTTACCTTAAAGTCTGTCTCCACTAGGAATAGGGAACTTAATCTGGCTCTTCCACATGGATGGCTGGGATCAGCTACTTCAGCCATCACCTACCCAGGATTTGCACTGGCAGAAGACTGGAATGTGGAACTGGGTCACCCCCCCCCCCAGATATTCTGATATCAAAAAAAGTTTTAGTCACCAGGTTCAATACCTTCTTTGCTACCTTTATCTCAAATATGTCCATCTTTCTCTATATCCTTTGCCTTGGTCCAAACCACAAATTTTTCTCCCCCAAGAGAATTACCATAGAGTTCCTAGTTAGTTTCCATACAATCCATCCTTTGCATATTTTAAAAATATAAATGAAGGCTTCCTTTTCTTCCACTCCACCATCATGGTGAGTGTTCCTGAATCTTCCTTGCCATGTCTTCCATCACAAGACCATCACAATCAAGAGATTCCTGGCCAAATCAAAAACAAAAATCATCGCATTCCCCAATGGATTCGAATGAAAACAGGTAATAAGATAAGGTAAAACTACAAGAAGAAACACTGGAGAAGAACCAAGCTGGGTCTATGAGGAACTGAACTCTAACAGATGAAATACATATTTTTGTGCTGTGTCAACTATCTTTTCTTTACCGTATGAAGCTAAGGATACCACCATTGTCTGAACAACTGAACATGCTTGATTGGGTCTGTGACTAGTTGGTTGGGTCAGTAATAAATATGTGAGACATTTTGAAAATGTATGTATAAGTGAAAGACTGACATTGTGGCATAACAGATTAAGTCAACAATGACACCAACACTCCATATGAGTACCAGTTTGTGTCCCTGCTGCTCTATTTCCAATCCAATTCATTGCTATTGCATGTGGGGAAGTAGAGGAAGATGGCCCAAGCA